GATGAAATCATTAAAGAAATGCATAAACTGTATAATGAAGAAATTTTGAAAGGCAAATATGACAATTCAATTCTTAAACCTTAGAACAATTTCTGATAAAAAAATTCAATCCTATAGTTCAATTCATTTTCGTATTTTGTTATATAAGCATGACAAATGGGTTGAAATGGATGAACATAAAGCATTCATTTATTATCAAAAATCTGCTGAAATGATGAATGCTAGCAGAATATGTAAAGTAGATATTTTTATAAATATGAAAATGGTGTTGAACCTAATAAAGATAATGCATTTATTTATTATCAAAAATCTGCTAAAATGGGAGACGCTGCTGTGATAAAGAATGTTGGATATTGTTATAATCATGGAATTGAAGCAAAAAGGATGAATATAAGAGATTAATTTATTATTAAAAATCTGCAGAAATAGTACACGTTGGTGTGATATATAATGTTGGATATTGTTATAAATATGGAACTGGAATTGAAAAGAATGAACAAAAGCCTTTGAATATTATTTAAAAAGTTCTAAATATGGATATTGTTGTAGAGAAAATATAGTTGAATAACTAGAATTAATTAGTTATAAAGTATAAAAATCAGATAATATATAGACAAGATATAAAATATTCTAGTAGATTTAGATTACAAATAAAGTAGTTTGAGTTTTATATTTAAAATTAATTCAGTAGTAAATATATGAATAAGCAACAAGGTTAAAAATAATATACAAATTTAAGAATTAATAAAGATACAAGAAGTATAACTTTAGTTTAATACTAAAAAAAATAATATTTTAAAATTATATTTATATAATTTATAATTTTTAGTTCTTAAAACAAGTTAAAATGCATCTTAGTTTATAGTTTTTTTGTTAAATAGCTTTATATATAGATTTTATAACTATATAGATAAGTTTTTATTTGGTTAGCAGATTTTTCTATCAGTAGACAAGTTCTTATAGATTTTAGAATAGTTTTTTAAATTCTTTATACAGTATTTTAGTTATTTTTTTGTATATTTATTCTTTTTTTTATTTTATCTATATACCTTTTTTTATTTATATATAATAAAGTATTATCAAATTGACAACATCCTATTTTAAAGTAGTAATTTTGCAAGGTTAGTGAAAATCATCTGTTGATATCTGGAGCTTATATTTTTAATAAGTTAAAAATCTCAAAAAAAAGAAAACATTACTTAAATAGGTTGTTTCTAAATTATACTTTAATATGAAATTTTAGTTTGTATAATTTTATTATAATAATAAAACAAATCAAGAAAATATTTATTTGTACAGAATTATAGCAACTAATAAATATACAGTATATATAGGTTTAGCCAACTAAGAACATATTTATAATTTGTTTTTACTGTAATTTATAAAATAAAAATAGAATTGTTAAAATAAAAAAAAAGTTTATTATTTTTTAAACAGTATTTTAAATATAATATATTACTGGATGTGACGACTTAGTAAAGTTGGTAGGTTGTCGCATCCCCAAGTGGCAGGACAAGAGTTCAAATTCTACTAGTGATGAAATTTGAATTTTATAGAATGTGTTATGGCAGACTGTGTGTAATCTGGCAGATCAGCATCTGTAACCTTGGTTATATTAGCTTGTACTGGAAGGATCTGGAACAGTAGTGTAATGTAAGATTTACACAAAACCCAAGTGATAGATCTGGGTAAATCCAAGGGACCAGGGCATATAGAAGTTCACTTAGCAAGTTCCGAATGAAGAGGTAGCACAGATCTTTAACAGTACTATGTAAAAGAAGATCATTAGCAATTGGACTCGACTATAAACTGAACAAGGACCAGGTGTTTAGCAAAACATCACACCAACCAGGCCATGTATATATGGGGAAAAAGATTTATCAGAATACCAAAGGATGCAAGTTCCTACCAGACCATCTGGATTGGGAGTTTGAGGATGCTGTTAGTATGTTAGGAAAGTTGGTGATAGTCTGTAAAGTGGGTGCTAAGGTTTGAGTAAACTTTATAAGGACAAGGAGTAAGTAATGATAATGATTTCAGCTCACAAGTACTTAGCCTCGGTCTAGATATAAGTTACTGAAAAATCTAGATGATATATGTGTAGAAAATATCCGACGGCACTAAGTTGATCAGAAAGTTTAAATGGGTAACTCAAATAATAGTGGGTTATAGGTACGGCATCTAATGTAAAACTTAGTAATAGATAGATACTTAATTAGATGCTTAAAAGGTGCAGATATGGCTAGAATGTACTCTTGTTAATATAACAAAGTCAGGAGTGGTTCTGTGACTACCCTGACATTCGCAACTGAAGTTAATAAAACATGCCAGACCCCAAGTGGTTACCTTAACATTAAAAAAATATATATATAATATATTATTAAAAATAAACAATCTTTTAAAAATAAATAATTTTGTTTTTGCAAATTTTTTTTTTTTATATTAATGATGAGACTATATCTTTGTTTTTTGCAAATTTTAAAAAAATCAAAACAATTTTATATATAAAATCAAAATTTTACTAAGCAAACCATCTTTGGGTTCTTAAATAAAATAATTCAAAAATTAAAAAAAAATGTATAATTTTTCTAACAAAAATAGTTGCTTATTTTTAATAATATATAGTATATTTTTATTATATAGTATTTGATAGTTTAATCAATAAATCAAATTATAACTTTATAAACTAAAATTTTTGATAATTTAAAATTTTGCCTGTTTTAATAATAAAATTTTAAAAATATTAACCTAAATTGTATCTTTGCTAACCCAATTTTAATTTTAATAATATGGTTTGATTTTTAGATATAAAACCAACCAAGTTTTTTTGCTAAAAATCTTAAGCCTAATATTAAACCTATCATTACTATAATAATTTTACTTCGCCTCAAATAATAATAAAAAATATGCAAAATTAAATATAATTATTAAGATTGCATAAAATTTATATTCATTAATTACCAATTACCAAATTTTGAGTTTTATGTAATTAGTAAAAAATTTTACCAAAATAATCTGATTGAAATGTTGGGTTTTAACGTTTAATATACATCCTAATATATACAAATCATAATAATATTAATAGAAAACAATGTGGTTTATATTTATATATGAAAAGTACAATAATACAGTTTAAAAATAAAAAAACATATATATATATTATATTTGGGATTAATATGTATAACTTAATTTATTGTTATTCAATGAAACCTAATCGAAACACTATCAACTTATGTCAAAAAAACGATTTATTATTAATCATAATAATTGATTCAGAGAATGACAAATAATTAGCATGAACACTTACAAATAATAAATAATAATTTATAGATCATATTTCTGGTACAGGCTTCAGCGATGAAGCTGAATTTTCTTTATACGCACTAGTTGCCGATTTTTTAAGTCGATCTTCTACTTGCTGTTTTAAGAATGTTTTTGTTTTATTTCCAGATCGCATTCTTAAAATTCTAAGTATAACCTCACCATGATCTTGGCGTTCATGTTTTTGACGTTTTTCACTTTTTCGTTTTTTAATCGTGCCAAGATTTCGTTGCTGAAGCACTGATTTGCTCGCTTTAAGTTGACCTTTCTGAGAATCCAACGTATTGTTGAGATATTCTTGCATGAGTTGTTCTGTATCCAAATTATATAATTTATCTATTTGACTGATTTCTTTGTATCTTTGGATTTCAAGTATCTCTGCTGATACACCATTCCCTTCAGCATGTAGATATTGTTTCAAAAACTATACCGGTAAAAACAATATTAGTAAATAAAATATATTTAGTGGATTAAAAATCAATAAGATGCTACAATAAAAGGATGCTTATACCTGTAACCAATTTAATACAATCATGAGCTCATTATCAGCGAGTGGTTTTAAATCTGATGGCCGATCCGATAAAGGAGGTATTATAATTAATTCAATAATAGTAACTATTTCTTTCCATATCCACCTCATAACCGCTTTGAACACCTCAGGATGCAAATTATTATGAAGTATCATCAAATTCTCATCAAAATAATCAAAAAGAGGGTCAATTGCTTCTTCAATATTGCGATCTGTAAGTTCACGTTTCTTCTGTCCAAATAGATCTGCAAAACCGACTGTTGGTTTTAACAATTTGTTGATTATATCTCGAGACAAACATTGTTTGAAAAATGGCGACATCTTTAAAATAATATTCAAGGATGAGTGCAAAAATCAAACTCAAGCGTTAAAAAAAAAAAAAAACCTTACTCTATCGACAATAGCTCTCGTCATATCGTCTCGTGCTCGTTTAAGGGTTCTAAATGCCTTACCGAAATAAAATCGAGGATCATCTTTCTCATCTTCCATGCTGACACGTAACGAAACGCGACCTTGTGGATTAAGATCGAGATACACGTCATTGGGTCTAGAGTCAGAGAAATAACGACGATCTAGATAAATATATGCTTTTCCACAAACGTCATCCGAACCAACTTGATCTTTATCCCAAACAGTGACGAGTATTTTTCGATAATCCTGGTCATTAAACTCAAGAGTAATATCAAATGCTTCATTCCATTGTGGATTTAGCGTTTCAAAAATAACACGCGTCTGTGCCAAAATTTGGCCCTTTTCATCTGTCAGAACACAATACGGATCGCTAAGCCCATTAACATCCTGGGCCATCAAATTTTCAGCCATTACAATTTTAATTGTATAAAGATATCTGTTTCTTATAATTTTTTCTGAAAGAGGCATTCCAGACTCAGATTGATTCATTTTTTCTGACACATCATCAACATTCATCGAATCATATAGTTTGTCCAGCTGTTCACCTGCCGCTTCTATATTATTCATTTTAACGCAAGACTGTTGTGAAATTTAAATATATGAGAATGTAGGTAATTCATTAAATTCATATTTGAAATAACCAACTATTTTATTCACCTTTGGCTGGATCTCAGCTGGTGCAGCTTTTTCACTAGTAAGGGCATTCTTTGCTCTTAGATACCAAGCTGATTGTTTTGATGGTTCTTGCTCGGCATAAGCAGCTGCCAAATCTTTCATAAAGAGGTCTTCCATAACCTTACAATATTGTTCCAATGCTTCACCAATGGTCTGAAAGGATAGTGAAATTAAATAAATTTTAACCAAAACTTAAATTCATTAATACCAATCTGAATAAAACCTACTTGTGATAAACTTGTCATGAAACGGGCGGATTGATCTCGGTTAGGCCAATCAAGCCTTTTTACGAAATCAACAGTTTGATTAAATGATGTAAAAAGATCCACCACAGAGGAGGAATGTGTATCCGTACTGCTTACAGGTTTAAACTAAAAAACAAAAAGTAATAGGTATGTAAGAAATAGCTCACAATACTAATTATTGAATTAATAAAAAAAAAAAAAAGATAATAACCTCATCCACACTGACAGCAGAACGGACCCATTCAGGAGTTTTCTTGTTCGTAGCTTCCAACCATTTCTTGATATAAGGTCCGAACCATCCTTCAATTCCAAAAGGAAATTTCGCACTTAAAAAATTTTCAAAATTAGCAATAAAGTTAGTTTTGATTTAAAAATAACAAAAAAAACGGAATTTTTTATAATTTACCCAGGACAACGTCCTTCAAATTCACTTCTGAGCTCCATTACCACCCGATAAAGTTCAATGATATCATCAACAGGAATTTCATCTTCGGATGTGGACGTCATTTTTACTTTAACTTTAATATCCTCTACCGCACCCTCCATATCCAAAAATAAAAGTGGAGCTTGTTTTTCAATTACCAAACGAACGATGTCAACTTGCCTACAGACCAATAATTCTTTGAATTAAGCCTCAGACATAAAATAAAATTACTGTGCATAATAATTCTTTATAATTACTAACCCAACTAAAGGTTTAGGATACTTGGTGCTTAATTTGTCTATTTCTTGCAGTATCCAATGTGCAATAGCTGTAAACTTTTGTACTTCATTTGAAGAAGCTTCTTTTTTATATATTTTGTCTACCCCTGATTTATATTCATCAAATGCCGCTTTCTTTTTTTTGTTTTTTAAAAAAAAAATTTTTTAATGTTAACAAGAGTTTATATATATATATATATATATATATATATGTAGAAGTACTTAAACCCTATAGACAACAGACAGCACAAAAAACTTACTCTAACGCACTCTCGAAGATCATTGTAAAAAGGAGACACATCCCGGTAATGAGACTTGAATAGTTCGGACTCGTATATCGAATTCAATAAAAATATCATAGGGTCGAATTCTGTAGGTTTAATCTTAAATACATGTTCTAGTGCTTCCTTCATGTAATTTAATAAAGTGTCATGAATCCCTGAAAAGACTTCCACATGTTCCCTTTTCTGTTACAGAAATAAGAAATAGGTTATTTTTACAAATAAATATGAAACAACAAAATAACGAAGTAAGATTAATTTTAGGCGAATAACAAACATCAGAAATAGTCCAAGTCGAAATATCTCTATGTCTTATGGCATCCTTTAACAGATGCATTCCTTCTTTAATGTGATCTAATCTTATTAGAGGGTCTTCACTGTCAAAACGAGACCTAATAAAATCCAGGTATTGCAACCATCGAAATGCAGGGGAAATTCTCCAACGTAAAGCACATTCATTGAGCAAGCCTATAACATCTTTTGAAAGAATTTTGATGGATAGATCTTCCGATGAACCATTTTGTAACTCATATTCTATGCATCTGTTCATTAAAAGCTTGTAATAAATCCGAGCACTTTGTGGAATGAAAGTAAAGGAACTAGACTAGAATAAGATAATAAGAGGTGTGTTTTTAAATTAAAGGTAGACTGAAAAATAAAAGATCATAAAATATATAGTATACAACAAACCTCAGTGGACAAAGGATCTTTTATGCTATGTGAAGGCTGCGTTGATGGTTGATTATAATGAGAATGTGACTGAGGCGGCTGATAAGGAGAATGCGACTGAGGTGGTTGATTGTAAGGAGAATGTGACTGAGGTGGTTGATTATAAGGATACATAGGCCTTTGGCCGTAGTTATAGTGAGGATATTGAGGTCTCGGAGAATTATAAGGCGGATACGGAGGTTGCTGCTGATATTGTTGGAACGGTGGTTGATTATAAGACTGATACGAAGTTTGCTGAGGATGAGGATTATAATGTGAATAAGGTGAATGGTAAGGTGGCTGCTGTTGTTGACGTTGTGTTTCCGGTTCAGTGAAATTAGTTCGTTTGGGCGCAGATGATGGTTTATTTGGATCAGATGTCAAAAGGGTAGAAACATGATCAGTGGGATCTTTGGACAATACTTCAGGATTTGTTAAAGCCATGGTAGCCATAAGATCTCTGATCGTTTTTGTTTCAATAGATTTCCACTTCTCATAAGCATCATCTGTATCGAAATCTTCCTTGCGAGCAGGGAAGGGAGAACCACGATTAATGTGGTTTATGATATTTCGCAAATCCTCAAACGCTTTCTAAAAGAAAAAGGTCATAAAATCAATAAAATAAATAATCGTACAATTAATAATTTGTAAATGAATAGTTATCTACCTGTACTGTACATTCTTTTTTCACGGAATTTAAGTCCTTTTGTAGTTGGCCAAGAGAAACGCCAAAAACTGATTGAACCACTTTCACCATATTCATATCTTCAATGCTCGGGCCTAAGCCAGTATTTGTAGTTCCTCCGCTTCCTCCGCTACTATTGGGAGTACTAGACATTTTTGTTTGATAAATTTCTAATCTAGCCAACAAATCAGGTGTAGCAGGTGATTGACATTCCTTGGTTTGAAGGCAGTCTTTCAATATACTGACAAATAGACTAACGTGATCCGTAAGCTTAGATTGCCATGTAACATTCGGAGGTAGTTGAGCTTTTTTGAGCTCAACTTGAGAAGTTTTGAGAAATATAAGTACGATATCTTCAATTTTACTGTTACTTGATTTAAACTGTTGACGAAAACCAGATTGTTGTAAGGCTTGGTGGAAAATTTTAAGTTCTTTCATAAAATAGGGGTCTTGATAAGTTGGATCACGATCGCGGCCAGTGGTGATTTGCTCTAAACGGTCACGCAATACTTTGACCAATTCTTTTGGTATTTTGTGAGCTTTCTTCTCATCTTTGAACATATCAAAAGCATTAACTACTAATTTCTCGGCGCTATAAAGACTAGCGCGCTTTGAACTACCAGTGTCGGAATGGGGTTTAAGTTGTGCGGATGTAGAGGCATTGACTGGTGCAGCTTTTGGAACCTTTGAGGGCTTTACCTCAGTAAGAAAAGCCAAATATGCAACACGAAGAGCATATTTATACACCGAATCTTCAGTGATAGTCGAGCCTAAACCACCACTCATTTCGAGGAACTTTTAGCAATAATTTTGAGCGATTTCTATTAAGAAAATAAATAAATTGTTAAAAGATCACCACATATCAAACATTCGCCCGTTTATTTTTAGCTGCATTTATTTATCTAAAAATAGAGGTCGTCTAAAGCGGAGGCACATCATGTGATCAACAGCCAATAAAATTACAGAATTTTGATGATCGCCAGCG